CCCCATGGCCCAGTCCAGGTGACAAAAAATTAACCATTATAGCTTACTTTTAAATAGACCAAATTCACAAATTTTTAGGCCCAATTCTGTATAATACAGACAATGGAAGCTGGTGGGAAGAAAGGGAAGGAGGTGTAAGAGGAAATGTAAAGATTTTAATGCTGTGATCTTAGGAAATGGAGAAGCACAGTTACATTCTATGACTGAACTGAATTCAGAGACAAAGGTACGCACATACTATTTAGACTCGTGTTTCATTGATAACAAGTAGAATAAATATTCTACAAAGAAGATATTACAAGTAGTATATTACAACTCTATTGGAAAAAGAGAGATGGCCTGAGGTTTGCAAGTCAACAGAGATTGTTCAAATTGATAATTAAAGAAATACCTTTATAACATTTATTCATTTACCAAACATTCACATGTCTATTTTATCTAAGAATGTAACAGCAACAGTTAAATTGTGATTTTCCCTAGTGAATGAGATTGGGAGTGGGAAGAAGAAAGTTGTGCATTATAAGCTCTTCCATAGTCTTTGATTTTAGCCATTTCAATGTGTTACTTTGATTAAAATTCTTGCAATAAATTTAAATAATAAATTTATATTTATTGTTACAGCAAATTGTCTATAATTTAATCCATCTAGAAAGCAGATTATAAAACAGTGTGGTACCCCATAATATCTGTGGACACCTGATTAGTACAGTAATCTGCAGGTATATACACCAAATCAAATACTTGTTGAACACAATTTTTAATTTTCAGGCAAATACTATCTTTTCAAAATTATAAGGTTCTTCTTCCAATATACCCCATGGTCTCCCCTTGCCTGGTAACTACCCCCTATCCTGGCAAACAGTAAATGAAAATAAAATCATTGATGGATATAGTAATCTAAAAGCATTTTCTATTTTACGTGCACTTTTTAACCCAGAGAAAATAAGAATAAATTCCTTCTTTGGGCAGCAGTTTCTAAAATATAATCAGAGAGATGCTAGTAAACATTTAAGTTTAGATTAGCTTTCTCAAAACTTTAAAGCCCTGGAATTCAGATTCGCTTACACTCTGAAGCTAGTCCTCAGTATCTTTTTAAAGCCTCTTTTGGCATCTCGTTTTCACGCTCCATCTGAGAGGACTTGGAAAACATCAGAAAATAACACCACCACTTCCACAAAGCAACGGCCTGGACAGTGCATATTTCTACATCCATCATTTATGGAACTGTTTCGGGGAGAAATTTTATTTTAAGTGTCCATACTAAAAGAAGATATTATTGGAGTTGGCTGCTTCAGTCAGCAAATACACTCAGCACCTACTCAGAAACATCTTTTTTTAGATAATTGGAATAAGAAACATTTCTTGCTGTTATTTTTAAATCGCTATAAAGGAAAAGAACTTTATCCTTGTGGAATATTAGCTTGCGGTCTGTAGTAGCCTAAAGTCCCTGTGTAAAATGACATTGTGTGATTTTTTTCATAGTTTACGCAACCCAAAATGAGGCAAAATACACGTCTCCTTCTGTAACCTTCCTCCTCCTTTATGCAAATAACACTGAGAAGTAGCTTCACAGCGTAAAGTAAGTCTGAATTCCATTGCTGGAAGATTTACAAAACCAATTTCAGCTATGTAGATCCATTTCTAGAATCATTGAAGATTCAAAAATTTTTGATTAAGTTTTATCCTACTTTTGCTCTGGATAATTATCTTTTTATTTGAGTACACACACACGCACACATACACACACACATTCATCTCATTGTTTATGAAAGGATAAGTAAAACCCATTGAATCATTCAATGTCCTAGAATGAACATAATGCAGACATTAAAAATAATTTTGAAGAATTTCAGGTGACACTGAAAAGTAATTGCTGTATAGTGTTATTGAAAATGTTGATTCCTTTCTTGTTTTTTATATTATGTGTATATGTATGTACAATCACATAATATTATGTTTAAATGTATATATAGATATATTTATATATGTATACCCTTTCTGTTATATTATACATGGTCACTTATATATAAGTACATATAGCTGAAAGTGTATAAAAATGATAAAAAGTTATCTGCAGGTAAGAAGATGGTGGGGATTTTTATTTTAATTTCTAACATTCTCTATTCAAATTATTTTATATGTGATATAAAGAAAATTCTACAATACCTGACATCAGGCCAGCATCATTTATTTAATATTAGAATTGATGTTGGAAAGACACCTATCCTTAAACTATTCGCCCATGCACCAGACTCAGTCAACACTGAATAGCTAATTTTAAATATTGCCTGTCAGTGCAGGATATTGTAGGTGATCTGCTGGAAGATATTATCAGACAATGAACTGACATAAAATTTCTAAGCTTCTCAAGAGTTTTACGTTAACTTCATTTTTGGTTCAAAATTTTCACGTATTGTCACATGTTTCTTCTGAAGCTTTCATCTTTACAAAACTCAGCTTTAAATTAGAGGGAAAAGGTGGGAGACTAAGGAGGAGAAGCAACTGAATTTATTTTGGATCTTGGCTAGAGCTGAAAACACAGTTGCTTTTTTATTCTTATGTCAATTTGAAAAACAACAGTTCTGAATTTAGCTAAATGAAGATTTTTTTGTAACTCTGCTTGGATCATTTTGAAAAGCCTACTTATAATTTTCACTCGGTTCCCAGGATATTACCACATATTCTTTTGAGCTATTGGCACATTGGATCCAGTTTATGAAGTCATAGCTTCTGCATTGAGCTTTTGCCTGCCTCATATCTTTAGATAAATTTGGAAGCAAAAGCAATATCCCCTGTGTGGAATACCTTTAACAGTATGGTTGAAATTTGTAATTTGAAATTCCTAAGTTCAAAGAACATTTATCTACAGCTTGATTTTACGCTTGAAACTTCCCATGCTTCATAGTATGTTGTAAAAAATTAGGGGGGAAAACCTTCCTCCTGTCATTCATAGCAATTTTCCTTAGACTTGAGAAAAAGACATAGAAACTATTAAAGAAAAATCAGAATCTTGTACCCCCTTATTGTTTTCTCATTTTTTGAATTATATCGCTTACCCTGGTATAGGTCTTTCGGTTATGCTCTTATGCAAATATACTTTCAGAGCAAATTTTGAAGTAAATACAAATTCACAAAATGAGTATCTTCATTTTAATATCATTAATTTGATGGATGATGTTATTTTACTGAACCTAAACCTGAATGTCGAGTTTAAGAGCAAAGATGTAACCACAGTTGGGTTTGTGTTTTGATATTACTAATACTAATACACAGAAAGCTTGTTTGCAAAAGAATATTTGTCCAATTTAAAATATTTTCAAAGCTTTTTTTGTATCCGTTGAAAACATTAAGAAAAACAGAATTCAGAGCCAGCCCTGATGGTCTAGTGGTTAAAGTTCGGTTCTCATCACTTTGGTGGCCCAGATTCATTTCCTGATCAGGCAACCACACCACCCATCTGTCAGTTGCCATGCTGTGGCAGCGGCTGACATAGAAAAACTAGAAGGAGTTACAACTAGGATATACAACCATTGGGGCTTTGTGGAGAAAAAAAAAGGAGGAATATTGGCAACAGATGTTAGCTTAGGGAGAACCCTTGCCTGAAAATAAAAAACAAAAACAGAACTCATTTTTACCCAAAATTTTGAAAGAGAGCTGTGTCCATGGACACTTTAAAAGTCTGATACTTTTTCTTTGGCTGATTTGTTGACTGGAATGACCTTTGAAATGTAAAACCTTGGACATTGAAATCAGATGGTTGTACTCAAATGAGTGAGAAAAGTTTAAAACATGTTAGATCAGCATCTGAATGAAAAATAATATTTATAAGATTATACATGCTATATAATTTAAATAGAATATATATTTATATTATTTATAAAAATATATATTTATGAGCATATGTATTCTTAGACCACTATATATTATATAATATTTATATTATGTATATTTTCTTGGGTAATTTATAGATCTCCAAAACTATGTCTATCTTCCATTAATTCTTGGACTCCAGTTTGAAAAACACTGACTTAACAGTATCACAATAATAATTTCTCTTCTCTTTGGTCCTCTCTCTTATGCCATTTATGTGTACCTTATTTCATGCTCTAATATAGTGAATTGCACATGTGTTGAATTTCAAAAGAAATTAGTAGAAGTTCAAAACTTTTCTATATTATAAGGTTTCGAATACATAGAATGAATTACAGAAAGCCATTTATCTGTGACTCTGAAAGGATAATCAGTGATTGCACCCATCACTTGGCTGAGTAATATTGACTAGCTTATTGAAAGTCAGCCTGTTAAAATGAGATTCTCTACAGTACTTAACTGAAAACATCCTGGTGTGTCAAAACTCTCCTCTCCTTTCAAACGAAAAGGCTCAATGTTTTCTGAGTTCCTTTCCCTTCTCTCTCACTGGTTTCAGGTCTTTGATTTCTATCTTCAGGATATTTGGAGGGTTTATGATTTTGCATTTATGAGCTAATTTATTTTTATTACAACAATCATTTAAAATGAAATAATAAATACATTTAAGGTTTGTGCATTTCATTTTATGAAAATTTTATTCCTAAAAGTATACAAAGAAGTAAACACAAGTGTTTAAACTAGTTGTATTTATGCATGTTGATGTGTTTGGGGGCTGTTCTTCTGATCTTCCTAATGCATTGAGGAATAATGTGGATTGACAGAAGGATGAACTGAATGGATTCATTCAGAAGGATGGATATGAGATCTATCTATGTCATCAGTCAAGTAGATTAAAAGGTGAATGGTGGACTCTCAGGATACATAGGTATATAGATGTTCACTGTACATTCTTTCAACTTTTCTGTGTGTTTAAAATGTTTATAACTGAAAAGTCAGTGAAAAAAGAAATAAGAATGAAAGAATAAGGTTTTTCTTTAGCTTTTCTGGTAAAATTTATACTGCAAGTATTTTTAACAGGGGACCATCCCGTTAATGGTGTTCTCTCTCTGTTTCTCCCCCTCTCTCTGAAGCTCCATTCCGACCTAGATAAAGGAGAGGGTACTGTTAAATACACCCTCTCAGGAGATGGCGCTGGCACCGTTTTTACCATTGATGAAACCACTGGGGACATTCATGCAATAAGGAGCCTAGACAGAGAAGAAAAACCTTTCTACACACTTCGAGCTCAGGCTGTGGACATAGAAACCAGGAAGCCCCTGGAGCCTGAATCAGAATTCATCATCAAAGTCCAAGATATTAATGATAATGAGCCAAAGTTTTTGGATGGACCTTATGTTGCGAGTGTCCCAGAAATGTCTCCTGTGGGTGAGTGGGCAAATCAAAATTCTGTCAGAGGCTATGAGGTCTTTTCAACATTTAGTTTCTGTAGGTTGATGTCAACATCTTGTTTGTAACCCAGAAGATTCTTCCACTCTAGAAGACATAATTATTTTCATTTATTTCTTTCAACTTTTTTTCCATTTAATTTTTTCCTTTCTGCTCCATTCTAAACATAAGTAGATACATAAATATCTAGAATTTATAGCCTTCTCATCTATTTTCCAATCTTTGCATTTCCCTAAACTGATGGAATTCCTTTGTACTTTAAGTACGAAACTCACTTTGTAGTGAAATTGATTGTCATTACAATTCCAGATGCCTACACAGTGCAGGAGGTAACTACTTTACCCATCAAATACCAGATAGTAATTCTTGGCTCCAAGTAAATTATCCAAAGCATGTATTGCATCTGAGTTTAGGAGTGGTCAAGAAAGGGGTGTGTTGTATCCTTTGTACCTATCGACAGCAATTCCAGAAGGATGGTATTGTTTCCTTTATGGCTATATGTAACTCATAGTGTTATGCCATCAAACTAGGAAGCAAATATTATTGTGAGGTCATTATTAGAATAAATTTACAATTAGCTATAATATCATCATCATTCTCTATATTTTAAAATGTAATATAAATCCACATTTCGGTATCAGCCTAAATTTACAAAGTCCTATAATATGTATTTTAAGGTCAATGAATTAAGGATTCCAGCTTTAACAACAATTTTAAATTATAACTTTTATTCCTCAGTCACCACTGTCGATTCCTCAATTCCTTTCAAAGTAATTTCTGGTTTCTAGCACATTTGTAAGATAAAGCTACTCATCACTTCAAGGTTACAACTTGAAACTCGTATGTGAGTCATTGCTAATATTTTCTAAGTCTGACATTCCTCAGAGTGCTTCTGTTGCCCCTACAACCCTCCAAGACATGTGGGAAAGATTGCACAGACTACCCTGAGGGCAGAAGCAGGTTAGAGCTTGTAGAAGTTGTCACATGGATTTACCATAAATGCACTTGAAATTGTGTCTGTGACCTTATCAGGCATTCAAAGACCATATTCTCTCCTTGACCTGAGAAATCAGCTTAGAGTAGTTCACTTAGCTTTAAAATTTTAGTGAGCATACTCATGCCTGCAAATCTGTTATTCAGTCTCTACTACATTTTTTTGAGCTGCCTCTTTTATGCGACACTATGATTGCTAGAGATTTGGAAGTATAATTGGGAAGAAATATGTCTTATGAGAAAATAGTCTCTAAAAACAACGAAAACTATTCTTTTAATTGTGCCTTGATTTTGCAGGAGGAGAAAAACGACGGTAATATTTTGAGAAAAAGTGAAGATAATGCTATTTACTACATAATTGGTTTAACGTAGTGCTTGTTTCATGTAAATCAGAAATATTTACATGAATTCATGACTCTTGGTGACTCTTTGTTACTGAAACAGCATCCTTAAAGGAAACACACACATTCCTCTACAGTATTAGAACATTCTGTCTTATTAGATAAACGGTAAGGTCTTTTGTTGTGCCAATTAGAATAAAGGGTAGGCTGCAGAGTCTGAGCCCTTATGTAATGAGTGTTTGCAGCTAGTGCCTGAAGAGAGAAATAAATCTGGAAAATCAGGCAAGGGGTGGGTGAGTGAGAGAAAAAGGTGGTCCCAGCTTTTGCGTGGTATTGAGGTGAGAGGTAATTTGCTGCGCAGCCATGAAGTATCAGAAAGATCTATGGAAGAATAGGTTCTTTAAAATGTTTTGCCATGTGCCATTACCAAAATTTCTCATTGGTTATTCAGGAGACTCCAGCAAATACTAAAACTGATTTTCAATGCACCTTCTTTTTATTCTTTTGGTAACAGAAGAGTAATACTTCTGAAAGTGAAACCACGTCACATGCTGTGAGTTCACCCAGGTATTCTTGGATTACATTTATATAATATACTCTTTTCAGATAAATGCTAAGAAGTATAAACACCACTTAGAAATTAAATATTACAAATTAAATATCTGCCATGCACTACTTTGGCCTAGGATTCCCCGCAATCCTGCCTATACACGTATAACCAAGAAATGCAGGAGACCCCATTAGATTTGTGGTATTTGTTGTTTCTGCTTTTACATGACCAAGCTAAAGCCAATCCAAATCTACTGTGCATCCAGACATCATAGTAGTGTTCTTAGAGCAGCTGGGCTCCATTCCCAGGCACTCCCTTCTTACCTTTTGGAAGTGGTTCACCACTCTAAGTCGCTTTGTCCAACGCTTATTCTCTTTCATGTTTTCTTTTCCCACATCCCATCTAGGAAATTTCTTCCTCTGTATCATTTTCCTGGGAGTATCAAAATAATTTTTGGTCAAGACCAGATAGAGCTCACCATGGTATAGCAATTGTTGCAGCAAATCTCACTGTTGGTTTTATATATCCATGTTTGTGGGATGGTATAACCATCCCTTCCCAATAATTGAGAATGTTGCTATTTCATTTTCAATAAAAGAGAAGAATCAACCAATTTAAAAATACATATAGTAAATAGCTTAGTTTGTAATATAAAATATCAAGCAAAACTGGGACCTCAAAACGAAGTTTACTTTGCAAATGTCAACTTAGCAATAATGGATTGTACATCTGAAAATATGATGAACAATTAAACCTGGAATGAAAATTAACTAAAGCGAAAGTTACAAAGAACATAACTGTACAAAGGTGGGCTGGTGGTGAGCAGGGTAGGCAGAAATTTCAGAGGAAAATCAATATTTAAGACTTATAAGACTGATAAGACTTATGGAATATGTTCAGTTCCCAAAAGTTGAAGAAAATTCTAGCGAATCTATGAATTAAGAGAAAGGTCACTTTGTTACTAACTTGTGCTACATCTAATATGCCATGGAACTAATATTCACAGATAAAGTGCTTTTACTCTGACCTAAGGAGATTGCTTAATGATCCAGATATTCCCCAATTCAAAGTTACTCCTTGGAGACAAATTTGGACATTATGAATGCAGTCTTAATTCTTTAAGATCACTAGGGTAACAATGAATTACAGTAATGTGCCGTCTTTAGTATCTGATGGTTATGCATCACTAGGGTATGTAGCTTACGTTACTTTTCCTAGAGTGCTGACAAGTTTAACATCTTTAAATCCATATTCATACTTATATTATCTTCCTCTCTCTGAGATAAGCCATTTTGAAGCAGATGATTGGGCTATTCACAACCAGGTCTCTATGATACATTTCAGTAGATGCCAATTATGAATCATAATTTATGCAGTAAGATCTCCTATTTCTTGAGCAATAATTAGGGGCCAGATGATCTAACTAGAGATTTGTACTCCCTATTTTATTCAACCATTACAATGACTTTGTGCAATATTGTTTACTATTTGATTGTTATTTTTATATGAAAACTTAACTTGTCTGTATCAGAAAGAAGGAATGACTCCCAGGCTCTTTAGAACAAAGTTGACTGCAATCAATTATACCCTTTTCCTAGGGTTAGTGTCCTTTAAAATGTCTTTGGGAGTCTTACATTTAGTTTTGAATTTCATATGAGCTGGTAAGCTTTGGAATGCTTGTTATATTATACTACATTGTATTATATTAATATGAGGATAGGGGTCTCTGCCTAAAAACAAAAATCTGAAGAATAAGTATCTCTTATCCACTGACCTAAAAAAAAAGTTTAGTATAATTTTAAATGAAAGAAGGTACACCTAAAGGGAATTACACTGCTGGCTTAATAAAAAACATTATGTACCCCCTTGTTTTTATCTATGAACTCTATTTTGTTTTGTATGAAGTTTGGGGATAAATGCTAATATGAACGTTTTGGTGGAGTCTTTGTAGGTTATTAAACAGAAAATATCTTCTAGATGGTCATACTCAAATAGTCCAACTCTAAGAAGGAAATAGTAAAGAATGTGATTATACTTAACATTAACTTATTACATCATTATTATAATTTAGAAACATGTATATATCTCCACAATTCCTTGCTTTCACAAAAGTAACATAGGAGACAAACCAAGAAATGATAAAGCAGATATATTCTCTGATCCCATGAGCCAGCCATGGCCATAGAGAGCAATTGAAGTAGTATATGTAGTAGGAACAGGTAAACTATCATTGGTTTCTGTCTGTACCCATAAGCAGGGTCTTTCTCAGAAGGTTGGAGACAGAATGTTGATGTTTTCTACAAATAAAGACATTGTCTTATATAACCAAAATACAATGATTAAAATCAGGAAATTAACATGAATGTATTATTACAATCTGATCCTTAGACCCCATTCAAGCTTTATCACTTGGGTCAATGTCTTATATAACAAAACATTTAAGGTCAAAATCATATATTGCATTTAAATGCCAGGTCTCCTTAGTTTCCTTCAATCTAGAACAGTTTCTTACCTTTTCTTGACTTCCATAACTCTAACAGTATTTAAAATTTCTGGCCAGTTATTTTTTTAGAATGCCCCTCATATTGGGTTTGTCTGAGGTTTCCTCATGCACAAATTCAGAATATGCGTCTTTGTCAGGTATGTCACAGAGGCGATGCTCTAGGCTCCATGTTGTATCCTATCAAGTGGAATATGGTTTTGATTTGTCCTGTTACTAATGGTGTTAATATTTCTTACTTGATGAAGGTTGTGCATTAGTTATCTATTACTGCATAATACATTAAACAAAATTTTAGCAGCATAAAACAACAAGCATTTATTATCTCACAGGAGTATGGATGCCCACGAGTGGCTTAGCTGGGTCCCTCTGGCTCAGGTGTCTCAAGAGGTTGCAGTCAAGCTGTTGGCTGGGACTATGGTCTGATCTAAAGGTTTTGATAGAAGCCACAGTCTATTTATAACCTAATGTTAAAAGTAACATCCCATCACTTCTGCCATTTTCTGGTTGTTAGAAGTAACTCCAGCCCACTTTCAGGGAACAAGATTACATAGAATATGAATACAAGGAAACTGGGGTCATTGAGGGCCTGCTT